AGCCGGAAGGGCGCAGAGGCCGGCCTTTCCCGCCGGGTCAGCGCGCGCGGGTCGTCGGGCGGGGCGTGGTTTCTGGGCACTCTTTAAACCCCAGAGACGAGGCGAGCGCGTGTGTCTGAGAGACGAGGGGGCTTCTGTTGTCTTCCAAGCCCCAGCAGGGGCGTGGGGCCTACTGGGTGCCGAGGGGGGGGCCGTCAGGACTCAGGGTGTGTTCTGGGCTGCAGGCAGAAATTGGGTAGAGTGGCTGGAGGGGGGTGGAAGCGGCGTGGTTTCTGGGCACTCTTTAAACCCCAGAGACGAGGCGAGCGCGTGTGTCTGAGAGACGAGGGGGCTTCTGTTGTCTTCCAAGCCCCAGCAGGGGCGTGGGGCCTACTGGGTGCCGAGGGGGGGGCCGTCAGGACTCAGGGTGTGTTCTGGGCTGCAGGCAGAAATTGGGTAGAGTGGCTGGAGGGGGGTGGAAGCGTGAGCTAGTGGTTAGAGCACAAGGGGCTGCATAGAGCCAGCGATTGGACAGTGTTGTTCCCATCTCCAGCCCTGATTTTGGACACGTCCCTTCCCTCTCGCCAGCTCCATTTCCTCACCGGAAAAGTAAGACAGCATCTGCCTCCTGCCATAGGGTGCTGGGGTTTATTACCAGGCTGGCCTAACATGCTGGAGAGCATGGTTCCCTGTAAGCTGAGCACTCGGGCGGCCGCCCAGGAGAGATTCAAATGCCGCCCAGCTGATTGGCAGAGCACCCACAGCTGGCAGCAGCCAGCAGCCTGTGTTTCTCCAGCTGGTGCACATCGGCGCTTGCATCGGTGCACAGAACAAAATTTATTCCGCACATGGAAGGAACCCATTGGCGGGCGCATTGCTTGAGAGCCCCCCAGAAGTCCCGTCACTTGCTGTGTGGCCTTTTGGAAGGCAAGGAGGAGCCGAGAGCATTTCCCGACGTATTTCTGGCCTTTCCTCACGGGGGATGTGGGCGCAGCCCGGTTCCACGCTGAGAGGCAGAGCCCCTGGAGCTGTGGGCACCAGCAATTTCTCCCCCGAGGCGGCCTCATCCTGGAACCGGGATTCACTGAGTTGGGCTCCACCAATCCCAGGGGCCTTCCGTGTGCAGGGCCGCCCCGCGCCGGGCTGGGACCAGTTTGTATTTCTGGCCTTTCCTCACGGGGGATGTGGGCGCAGCCCGGTTCCACGCTGAGAGGCAGAGCCCCTGGAGCTGTGGGCACCAGCAATTTCTCCCCCGAGGCGGCCTCATCCTGGAACCGGGATTCACTGAGTTGGGCTCCACCAATCCCAGGGGCCTTCCGTGTGCAGGGCCGCCCCGCGCCGGGCTGGGACCAGTTTGCTCCGCGTCTCGGACATAAATAAAGAATCCAGCAGCAGGGCTCCCTGCAGGTGACACGGGGCAGCCGGCTGCACCGGTCGCTTTAGTGGATGGGAAAGAGGCGCTGGATGTTCCTGCCGGAGGGGACAACAGAGCATCTGGGCCAGCAGAACCGGGCTTAGGAGCGGGGAGCTGAACAGAGAACTCTGGCCGCGTGGCAGAAAAACCAGAGCAGCTTCCGCAGGCCTGGGGCGGGCGGCAGGGCTCTCTCTGGGCTCTCCGCCGTCTGATCCTGTCGGGTGCTGAGCACCCCCAACGCCCAGGGACATCAAAGGCGGTCAGCACCGCTCAGGACTGGGCCCCTGATAAAGTCAGCGTATGGGGCGATGAACGGTGGTCCCTTGGGGCTGGGTGGAGGGCGGAAGGGTGGATCTGGAGACCAGGAGCCCCTGGGGTTCCCTGCCTCTCCCCACAGGAAAGGAGGGAGTCCCACTGCTGTACGCGAGAGAGGGGAACCGCGCCCTGGGTTCGAGACTGCTCTGCCGCTGCCTCGCTGCATGGGCGGGGGGAGTTCCCCTTCCTCCACTGGGGATAATGATCCTGGCCCAGCTCAGACAGGCGACTGTCGGCTTCCCAATGGTAATTCCGGGTTTATCGTCCCTCCGTCGTCATCAGAGCAGCCACAGCGTTCCCCGTTTTTGAGAGGGGGAAACTGAGTCACGGAACAGGGGAAAGGGCCTGCCCTGGGCCACCCGGAGAGGCAGTGGCAGAGACAGGAATATGATTTCGGTGCCCACGGGGCCCCGCGTCAGACAAGAGACGGGACACAAGCAGGCGAATACAAAGAAATAGGTCCCCGACTGCCAGCCCTCAGCTCTGCTCACTAGACACCACTGCCGCCGAGGTGTGCAGCAGGCCTGGCCGCAGATTCTTGAATCTACAGGGGCCTTCGTGCTCTGCTGCGAGGGCGTGGAGTTCGTTAGAAAACAGTCCGTGCCGGTAGCTCCTGTTCCGTTAGTCACGCACCCGAGCAATCCCCTGGCCCTGTCTCCAAATCCCCTATCTCAGGTCTGCCAGGGAACAGGGCCTGGAGGCTGCCTCCGGCTTGGTTGGGAAACCTCCAGGCTCTGTAGAAACCAACCCGCAGGGTCCCACCTTTCCTTGTTGCTCCCACGGAGTCTCTGTGCCCATCTCCTCCCTGTTAGCCTCTCTGTGGCCAGTGGCCTCGCTCGGGTTCGCGGTGCCAGGCCAAACCCTCCGTTACACCAGCACAGACACACTGCTGGGCTGTGGTCAAGAGGGAGACCCTGGAGTCCTGGCGGAGAGTGGTCAAAACACCAGCCTGAACATTGGGAATCATTTAAAAAGGGTTCAGGACTAAGAGAGAGAATATCTGACCCCTCTGTGTAAATCCATAGTGCACCCACGCCTTGACTACTGCAGACGTCTCCTCATCTCAACAAAGATATCTTGGCATTGGAAAAGGTTCAGAAAAGGGCAAAACGAATGGGGAGGGGTTTGGAACGGGTCCCCTAGGAAGAGATTAAAAAGACGGGGACTTTTCAGCCTAGAAAAGAGGAGACGAAGGGGGGATATAAAATTATGGCTGGTCTGGAGAAAGTGAAGAAGGGAAAGTTCTTTACTTAGTCCCACAATATAAGAACTAGAGGTCAGCCAATGGGATTAATAGGTAGCAGGTTTAAAACAAAGGAAAGGACGTTTTTCTTTACACAGCGCACAGTCAACCTGTGGAACTCCTCGCCAGAGGATGATGTGAAGGCCAAGACTTTAACAGGGTTCAAAAATGAGCTAGATACGTTCATGGAGGTTAGGTCCATTAATGGCTGTTAGCCAGGCTGGGTAGGGAGGGTGTCCCTTGCCTCGGTTAGTCAGAGGTTGGGAATGGGCGCCGGAGAGGGATCGCTTGGGGATTCCCGGTTCTGTTCACTCCGTCTGGTGCCCCTGGCGTTGGCCGCTGTGGGCAGACAGGACACTGGGCTGGAAGGACCTTTGGTCTGACCCCGTCTGGCCGTTCTTATCTTCTTCTGTGTGCTCTTAAGGTCAGTTTCAGCCGAGGCGGGCTTGTGCCGGCATGCGAGTTAGTCCTCTCTCCCCTCCTCTTCCCACAGGCAAAAAGAAAGCCACCTTGTTCGACAGCCAGGCCCCCATCTGCCCCATCTGCCAGGTCCTGCTGCGCCCCGGCGAGCTGCAAGAGCACATGGAGCAGGAGCTGGAGAAACTTGCACAGCTGAACATCAGGTAAGGAGCTGCCCTGTCCCACCCTCTCTCCGCCCGGAGCTTGAGATCCGGGGGCGGGAGCAGGCGCCCCGGGGACCGCGGGCTCTGCCCGGGCTGGGCCGGCCGGTGCTAGCAAGCGGGGTGGTGGGCGTGAAGGGCCGGGGGAGCAGGCGCACACCCAGATACCCATTTCACCTGGGAGCCGCACAGCTGAACATCAGGTAAGGAGCTGCCCTGTCCCACCCTCTCTCCGCCCGGAGCTTGAGATCCGGGGGCGGGAGCAGGCGCCCCGGGGACCGCGGGCTCTGCCCGGGCTGGGCCGGCCGGTGCTAGCAAGCGGGGTGGTGGGCGTGAAGGGCCGGGGGAGCAGGCGCACACCCAGATACCCATTTCACCTGGGAGCCGCTGGCCTCGGCCCCTGAACACATTCCACGGACTAGCCATCCGGGGAACGTCTCCCTGGCGTTCACTGCAGCTGGACGCCGGACACGGAGGCACTTCTCAGACAGCAGCTAACGGCTGAGGCCATCCATGGCTTAGCTGGGATGGGCCGGGCTAGTGTCCCCGGCCTCTGTGTGACAGGCGAGGGGTCACTAGGTGATCGGCTCTTCTGTTCATACCCTCTGGGGCCCCTGCCAACGTTCCCTCTCATTTTTTCCATCGGTGTGCGGAATCAATTTTGTTCTATGCACCAAGGCATGTGTGGATGTGCACCACCAGCAGAAAGCCAAGCTGTGAGGGCTCGGCTCATCCGCTGGGCAGCATTTCAGCCTAAATGGACCTTTGCTCTAATGCAATGGGGCCGTTTTTCGAGCCCCGCCAAGTCAGGCCCCTGCCAACGTTCCCTCTCATTTTTTCCATCGGTGTGCGGAATCAATTTTGTTCTATGCACCAAGGCATGTGTGGATGTGCACCACCAGCAGAAAGCCAAGCTGTGAGGGCTCGGCTCATCCGCTGGGCAGCATTTCAGCCTAAATGGACCTTTGCTCTAATGCAATGGGGCCGTTTTTCGAGCCCCGCCAAGTCAGGGACGTCTCCAGCTGCCTGCCACTTCTCCCCAGCCCGGCACAGTCCCCTGTTTTAAACCAAGAATTAATTGCAGTTTAACTGTGAGCAGTTATTTAGGAAATGGCTGCAGCCAAGGGTTGGCAGATCCCTGCCCCTGCCTTAATAAAACTCAGCCGCCTCGGGAAAGAGCGTGTTTATTTCAATTATTAATGAATTCCCCGGTCATTAAAAGGTGAGAAAAAGAATCAAACTGCCGACTGGAAGCTAAGTGACGTCATG